TAAATGCAAGGCCAGGAGCAGTGGCTTACACTTGTAATCCTAGTACTCTGGGGGGCCAAAGTGGATGGATTGCACAAGCCCAGGAGTTTGAGACCAGCCTGAGAAACATGACAAAACCCACCTCTACAAAAAATTCAAAAATTAGCTGGTCATGGTGGTGCTCACCTACAGTCCCAGCTACTTGGGAGGCTGAGATGGAAGGATTGCTTAAGCCTGAAAGGTCAAGGCTGCAGTAAGCGGAGACAGAGCCACCGCACTCCAGCCTTGGTGACAGAGCAAGACACTATGTCAAAGAAAAGTCTAAAAACATGTTAAACAAAAAGATTGTCTAAAACTTATTAAAAATATAGAGACATGCAGCAAATTTGACACACACATCCACCAGTAGTTCTTGCTTTGCTCAGCACAGTATTGGATGAAACACAGGCATATCGGAACTGTGGAAAATCAGGGCTATCTACATATATTGCTATGATTTTTTTGTATGCTACATATAGCCAATAATATTAAAATGTCACAAATTGACAAACCTGGGTGGTGGCTTCACAAACATTTCTTATAATTCTCTACTCTTTCTTCCAAGTAGATTACTTCAAAATATACTTTGTGAAGTAAATCCACAGGAATTGAACAAAATATAAAAGGAGTTATTGAGTATAAGGAAAGCTCCAGAGAGGTAAAGACAGATGGAGAGATGGTAACACTGAGCACGTTAGTGACCTCCACAGTAACAGATTTCCTGGAGGAGTGTGAGTGAGGACAGAATAAAGTGGATAGAAAATAAAAGAGGGATGAGGGAGTGGGGACTCCAAGGAGTAAATGTGTGGGCGGGGTGTGGGCCAGACTGGGAGGTGCAGTTTGGTTCTGAACGTTCTGTTTGAGATCCAGCACTTAGAGAAAGAGAAGTCACATTTATTTGGCTCCTTCCACAATCTTTAGAGGAATCTTCTGAAGCATAAAAAAAGAAGATATATGAATGGCCAATAGTCTTCAGAGAAAAATGCTCAATAAAACCATAGTGAGAAACCACTAAACATCTATTAGTATGGCTAAAATTAAAACTATTAATAACTATATGTTGGCAAGGATGCAGAACGGTGCTCTCATCTATTGTCTATAGGAATATAAAGCAACTACTCTGAAAACCAGTTTTGTATCATGTAATAAACTTAAACAGATGAGTACTCCATGGCTAGCATTTCCATTCCTGGGTATTAACTGAAGAGAAATGAAGAGTATGTCCTAGAATCTCTGTACAAGAATGTCCATGTGGCCTGTACTTAATGATTCACTTCTATCTGATAGAGTAACGTTAATATAACACTTTATGACTCTTGCTGTACAACAAAAAACTCACTGTAGCTTTCACCTTTGCTCTCTCTGTCTCTGGGATCATGAACTCTGGGGGAAGTCAGCTGCTGTGCCATAAGCAGACTGGTGAAAAGGTACACGTGGCTAGGAACTGAGTCATCCTGGAACCAGACAACAAGGAACTGAGGCCTTTTCCAATAGCTGTGTGTAAGAGCCATTTTTCATGCAAATCCCCAGCCCCAGTTGAGCCCTCAGATGATGCAGCACTGTCTGACAACTGGACTGCAACCTTGTGAGAGGCCCTGAGCCAGAAGCACTCAGGGAAACCTCTCCTGGATTTCCAGAATCCAGGAAATTCTCTCATGGATATTAGGAAGGTAATAAATATTTGTTGCTTTGAGCTGTGAGGTTTCGGTAATTTATTATGTGGCAGTAAAAAATTATTGCAGCTTCATAAGAGAGGATGAATTATTGCACTTTAATTTTCATTTGCTCTAAATTTATTAGTATTATCATCATCATCATTATTATTGAGACAGGGTCTTACTCTCACTCAGACTGGAATGCTGTGACAGTCTTTTATGACAGCTCACTGCAGCCTCTACCTTCTGGGCTCAAGTGATCTTCCCACCTCAGCTGTCTGAGTAGTTGGCAGTACAGACATACACCACCATGCCTGGCTAAAATTTTTATACTTTTGGTAGAGACAAAGGTTTTGCCATGCTGCCTAGGCTGATCTTGAACTCTTGAAATCCAGCTCTTTTCCTGACTCTGTCTCTGAAAGTGCTAGAATTACAGGCATGAGCCACCACATCCAGCCTAAATTAATTATGTTAAATATGACATTTGGTTTTAAGAGGTGAGAAGAATTTCCAGGGCTAAATACGATGTATTTTATTATCGTTCTCAATGATTGCTTTATTTGAACTTCAATTTCCAAGTGTGTCCCAATTAAAGTCAAAAGAAAGACCCCGGCCATGCTAGGCGGATTCTATCATTGCCCCATGATAGACGTGTGCCCCTGCTTATTCACCTGACCCAGTTATTCAACCAACAGTAATGTAAGTGCTGCCTTGAGGGTATTTTTACATATATAGTTGAGATCCTAAATCAGTTGACTTTAAGACAGGGACTCTACTGGGTCGGGCCATCCTCATCTGGTGAGCCCTTGAAAGGACTGGATTCCCTCTGAGCATAGAGATTCACAGTATGAGAGGGATTCAGCGTGAGGGGTTTCCTCCACTGTGTGGCAAAGAATGCTGGTGGGCACCAGGAATTGATAGAAGCCTCTCTCTACCTTGACAGCAGGCAAGGAACAGGGACCTCAGTCCTACAACTGCCAGAAACTGAATTCTGTCGCCTCTGCATAAGCCTGAAGGAGGCCCTCAAAATGAAAACACAGCTTTGGGAAGCCCTAAACAGAGAACCCTCCAATCATGCCCAGATTTCTGACTTAGAAAGTGTAAATAGATAAATAAGTGTTGTTTGGTCAGGTGTGGTAGCTCACACCTGTAATCCTAAGGTTTGTGGGAATGACGGAGGAGGATGACTTGCAACCAGGAATTTGAGACTAGCCTGGGCAATTTGGGAGACCCTGCTCTCTACAAAAAAGAATTTTTTTTAAATTTAATTGGGCGTGGTGGCACTTCCCTGTAGTCCTATCTAGTCTAGAGACTGAGGCAGGGGGACCACTTGAGGCAGAAGTTTGAGGCTGCAGGGAACAATGATCACGCAATTGCACTTCACTTTAAATGACAAAGGGAGACTCTGTCTCTACAAATGAATAGATAAATACAATAAATGTGTGTTGCTTAAAGTCAATGTTTGTGATAGTTTGTTATGCAGTCATATAAAATTCATACACAGGCTCAACAGACACATGGAATGAATTTAGGAATTGAAATGCACCCTACATGCTTAAAATAAAATATTTCCTTTCTCTGGTATTTTTCATTTTATAATTTTCTGTGATACAATTAAATTTTAATACTATCATATTTCATTCAACCAGTCAACAAAAATTTAGGCCCTAAACTGAACCAGGTATGCCCTCATATGCTCACCTGCCTGGCATTCTAGAAACTTCACAAGACTGAGGCAGAGCCACTGAAGTGTTTTAGGTGGAAAAATGACACACTCTGATTCACATTAACAAGACCACCGTGGAGAGAACAGTCACGTAGCTGATAATGGAACAGTACTAGAGCCACAATTCAGGAGTGACATGGTGGTGGGGACTGCAAAGGGGAGAGGAGGGCCTGAGGGATGAGAGGGTTGGAGGGAAGGGCTGGAGAAGCAGGGGGTGAGGAGGAGCAGAGGGAAATAATTCAGAAGCAGCAGAATTCTTAGGTTTAAACACATCGTTTTACAGATTTTTAGTATATCCATCTAGAGAGCGTAGCAGGGTGTTCCTTACATTTGGCCTTTAACACCATGCGTGGGAATGCCTAAAAACAAATTGCTTTATATGTTTTATTTTTAAGTTTAATAAAATATTAATTGTTCCAATAAAATATACACACCACTTAGATGTGAATACTTTGTAAAAAATGGCACTGCATGAGCGCTGGTGAGGGGCATTGTGACTGCATTGAACACTTGCAACTGTGAGGTGAATGAAGTCTGTACTGGCTCCTGGTTGCAACATACGGTAACACCGTGTGCTACTTTGTACTGAGGAGATGTCCTGGACTCACACAGAAACTCAGGTCTATGGAATGAAGGTAATTTTAAACTACAACAAGAGTCACAGATACACAGTCTGGGAAAGCAAAACATAGGAGCTCTGCGAGTTGTCAGTTGTAATACATTTAGACACATTTATATATCAACGGGCCAAAGTAACCTTTTTTACACATAAGATTCCTTATTATTCAGGAGTTACCAAAATTCTACTACTCACTGCAGCAAATACAAAGGAAACTGGTCTCTATTTTATCTCATGCGCTCAGGCACTACTTTTCCAGATTAAAAACAAAAACAAACAAACAAACAAAAAACCCTGTCGCTACACCTCCATTCCCAGGGCAAGCTCACTCTCTGGCACCAGGCTCCCCGGGGTGAGTTTTCTTCTAAAAGAACCCAGGGGAGTCCACGTATGGGGGGGAGGCAGAAAGTCCAGTTCACGGACAGGGATTCCAGGATGAAAAGTGAAGGGGGTGGGACTAGGTCCATGCCCAGGGTTTCTCCTTGGTTTCTTAGCCGCTGGTCAAAGACTCAGGGAGATACTGAGACAGAGCATTTCGTGCAGGAGGAGCGGGGTCTGGGCGAAGTCCCAGGGCCCCAGGCGTGGCTCTCAGGGGGTGTCTGCATTGGGGAGGTGCAGCTTTGGGGATTCCCTACATTCCTGCAGATTCCCTTCTGCCTCTCTCCACATATGTGAGGTCCTTCTTCCTGGATACTCATGACGCGTGGCCAGTTCCCATTCCCATTGGGTGCCGCGTTTCTAGAGAAGCCAATCACCGTCGCTGCGGTCCTGGTTCTAAAGTCCCCGCGGACTCACCGGGACTCAGATTCTCTCCAGACATCGAGGATGGGGTCAGGGCCCCCCGAATCCTCCTCCTGCTGCTCTCGGGGCCCTGGCTCTGACCAAGACCTGGACGAGTGAGTGCGGGATCGGGAGGGAAATGTCCTCTGCCTCTGGGAGGAGGAGTGAGAGGCCCGCCAGGACGCAGGTTGCTGGTAGCCGCGAAAGAGAAGGTTTGGCGGGTCTCAGCTCCCCCTCGCCCCCAGGCTCCCACTCCGTGAGGCATTTCAGCACCTCTGTGTCCCCCCCGGCTGCCGGGAGCCCCGCTTCATCGCGGTGGGTTACCTGGGGGACAAGCAGCTCCTGCGGTTCGACAGCCACGCCGCGTGTCACAGGATGGAGCCGCGGGCGCCGTGGGTGGAGCAGGCGGGGCCGGAGTATCGGGAGGAGGAGACTGGGAATGAAGGCCCAACACAGACTTTCCGAGTGAACCTGCGGACCCTGCACGGCCGCTACAACCAGAGCGAGGCCGGTGAGTGACCCCGGCCTGGGGTGCAGATCACGCTCCCTACCCATCCGCTACGGATGGCACGGGTCCTACCGAGTCCCTGGTCCGAGATCCACCCTGAGACTGCGGGACCCGCCCAGACCCTCCACGCAGGAGAGCCCCAGGAGCCTTTACCGAGTTTCATTTTTAGTTTAGGCCAAAATCCCCAAGGGTTGGTCGGGGAGGGGGAGGGGCCGGGGCTCAGTGGGCAGGGCTGACTGTGGGGGCAAGGCCAGGGTCTCACACCTTCCAGAGGATGATTGGCTGCGACCTGGGGCCAGACGGGCACCTCCTCGACGGGTATGAACAGTTCGTGTTCTATGGCAAGGACTATGTCATCCTGAATGAGGACCTGCGCTCCTGGACCGCCACGGACACGGCGGCTCAGATGACCCAGCGCACGTGGGAGGCAGACAAATATCCAGAGCAGGTCAGGGACTACCTGGAGGGCGAGCGTGTGGAGTGGCTCCTCAGATACCTGAAGAACAGGAAGGAGGTGTTTCTCCTACTACAATGGGGAATCCTCCCATGGTAACAGGTGTTAGTAACATGGTTCCCTTAATCGTGGGCAATCTCCCCTCTAACATAGGATCAAGAGTTCTAGCCCAAAATTTAACTATGATGCCCCAAACTTCCTTGGGTTCAGGACAAACTTGGCAATTCCCGATCATAGTACACCCTCCTACTCAGGGGACACAGGTATTGCCAATGGCTGATAATCAGACTAATACCCCCGGCTCTCCCTGCAGCACCGTTACAACACACTCAAGCTCGTAATTTTGATGCACCAGCGGCAGATGAAGCAGAACTGCCACAGCAGCTGTTACAGCCCCAAGCAGCTGCCCAGCGCCAGCCATACATCAACCTCTGAGGTCTCCCCCAAGACTGTTACAAATTTGCTTTCAGGGCGCCCTCCATGAACAATGTTGCCCCAGCAATGAGATTCCAATGGAAGATCTTGCCACAAGGCATGATTAACGGCCCCACAATTTGTCAGTTCTATGTGGGGAAAACGCTGTTCCCATTTAGAACTCAGTTTCCCCAATGCTATTTGATCCACTACATGGACGATATTCTGTGTGCAGCTCCTACACGTGAGACTCTTGTTTCAGTGTTCTCTATGCTCAGGGAGGTCATTACAGCAGCTGGCCTGACTATCTCCAGGGAGAATATCCAACTGTCCACCCCTTATCAGTATTTAGGAATGCGGCTTGAGGAGCGCACAGTTAAGCCACAGCTGGTGGAACTGCGGAGAGATGGGTTAAAAACTTGGAATGACTTCCAAAAACTCCTCGAAGACAAAAATTGGATTAGTCCAGTATTAGGGATTCCTACCTATGCGCTTTCTAACATTTTCCCCACCCTGAGAGGAGATCCTAACCTACACAGCAAACACAGCCTGTCTCTGGAAGCTGAACAAAAACTACCTTTTGTAGAAAAAAAGAATCTGAGAGGCTCAGGTTTTTAGGATTCAATCCTCTTTGCCTTTCACTATTTTGATTTTTGCTACCCCTCACTCCCCTACGGGGGTAATTACACAAAATGATAGCCTTACTGAATGGTGCTTCCTGCCTCATGCTGCTGAACACTGTCAGTATATTTGGATCAACTTTCTACCTTAATAGGGCTGGCTCGTAATAGGCTATTATGTCTGACAGGCTTAGAAGCACACAGGTTGGTTGTCCCCCGCTCACAAGAACAAGTTCGCCAGGCTTTTATTCACTCCACCTCCTGGAAGCTTAATCCGGCAGGATTCCCGGGTGTCATTGACAACCATTACCCCAATGTTAAACTTTTCCAGTTCCTTCACCTAACTTCTTGGATATTGCCAAAAGTTACACAAAATGCCCCCCTAGAGGGAGCGGTGACTGTTTTTACTGATGCTTCCTCTAATGGCATGGCTGCATACACTGGCCCCAAGGAAAGGGTCTTGCATACCCCAGCTGTTTTGGTTCAGTGAGCGGAACTAATTGCAGCCTCGGAAGATTTTCCAGGTCCTTTAAACATTGTTTCAGATCCTGCTTATGCAGTTCATGTTACTAGTAACACAGAAACTGCCTTTGTCAAATTTCATCTGATGATTTGCTTCGCTCACTGTTCTACGCTTACTAACAGTTGTACGGTCTAGGACCTCTCCCTATTATATTACACACATTAGAGCTCATACCTCTTTGCCTGGCCCGTTAACCACAGCTAATTCCCGAGCAGACACCCTTGTAACAACCGCTCTACCGGAAGCCCGCAACTTTCATGAATTAACTCACGTTAATGCTTCAGGTCCTAAGGACAGGTATGCTATTACATGGAAACAGGCAAAGGGGATCGTCCGCCATTGTCCCTCCTGCCAGGTTGTCTCTCTTCCCTCACAACCAGCTGGTACAACCCTAGAGGTCTCACTCCCAATGCCCTATGGCAAATGGATGTGACCCACTATCCTGCCTTTGGAAAAGTTTCTTTTGTTCATGTCTCTATAGACACATTTTCCCATTTCGTATGGGCTACCTGCCTAACAGGGGAATGAACTGCCCAGATTAAATGGCATATGCTCTCATGCTTCGCTGTGATGGGCATACCTGCAAAACTAAAAAATGATAATGGACCGTGATATGCCAGTATGTCATTTCAACGTTTTCTAGAGGAATGGAATATTCAACACACCACCGGCATTCCTTATAATTCACAAGGACACGCCTTGGTAGAAAGGGCTAACAGGACCCTCAAGTAACAGTTAAATAAACAACAAAAACTAGATGACAAGTGATTGTTTTACTCCCCAGGTCATATTGCATCTAGCGTTGTTTACTTTAAACTTTCTTAACCTTAACAGGTCTCAACCCTACACAGCTGTGGAACAACATTTTACAGCAGTTCAGCATAACCCTGTAAAGGGAAACAAGTGTGGTGGAAAGACTCATCCACTGCAAAATGGATGTCAGGTACTCTGATAACTATGGGCTAAGGATTTGCTTGTATTTCCACAGATAACTCTCCTGATCCTGTTTGCATTCCATCATGGCATCTTAAGCTCATCCCTGAGGAACAACATGAGCTCCCACTGCCATCCCCGCGGAAATCACAGGAGAGCCCCAAATCCGATGGACCAACTTCTGGATGACCATATTGTCCATCTCCCTAATCATAACTCTTCTGGCTGCCATGCTTCTCACCACCACGGCAGTTTCCCCCAACCTCCTCCCCCTCCTCCCCCTCTTCCCCATTCTCCTCGCCATCCTGTTAATGAAAGCCCACTTCATACACCTCTCACTTTTACTCAAATTTATCAACTTGTGTATATGGCTTGTCATACTACAGAACGGTGCAATATTCCACCTACTCCCAGCCATACTCTCGCTGCTGCTCTTATACTTTTCTCTCCAATGGGATCCACTGCTTTTGTATTTCCCGACTCTGGTAATTTTTCCTACTGGGCATATATACCTTCCCCCCCCCCCCCAGTAAGCTCTGTTTCTTGGATGGACTCTTCCATAGAAATCTATACTAACAGTAGTGCTTTCCTGCCTGTCCCTAATGACAACTGCGTACCTGTTCATCAAAACAAAGAAGACACCCCTTATAATGCCTCTAATGGATTTAAATTTCCTCCTCTTTGCCTTGGGCTCACTCCCAGCTGTCTCCCTATTGGTCCCCAGGCATGGATGTGGATTGTAATGCTTCTTTCCAGACCCAGTATATGTTTATTTCATTTTCTCTTCGCCTATCAGTCCCACACCTATCATAGCCTTTGCTTGTCTGTCATAACAACAACAACAACAAAACGGCTACCTGCTTGCTCCCAACATCCTGCAGAAGATCTGCTCCATATTCAGAGTGTTCACTGGGACCACTGCAATGCACCCGTTGGGACCATACTGGGCCCCCTTGATAATGCTGTCATTGTTGACTGGGCTCCCAAAGGTTTATATTGGCATAACTGCACTGCACAACACCCACACTGTCCAAAATATCCTTACCTCTTCACAGAGGACACAACACGCTCAGCGCTGCCTCAAGTTCTGCATCACGTTCCTCACCTATGGACCTCACCACTCCCCTACAGATGGTCTCACGCTGGCATCGTTGCACCACATCCTAAGATGATTCACCCGCCTGTTGGACCAGAACATCCTGATCTGTGGAAGCTGGCTGCTGCTCTCAGTGGACTTCACTTTTGGAATGTTTCCATGGACTCTTAACGGTCACAGTCTGGTGACACTCTACACCATCTACACTTTACTCCCAAATACATAACACCTAGTTGCAGTTGTGTTAAGCCTCCTCATATGTTACTGATTGGTAACTTTTCTATTTCCTTTGTCACCAACTCTATCAACTGTAACAATTGCAAATTGTTTTCTTGTCTAGATGCTACCTTTTCTGTTAACTCTAATGTACTGCTGGTCAGGGCTAGGGAGGGAGTTTGGATTCCTGTTGCATTGCATCGTCCATGGGAGTCCTCTCCCTCTATGTGCATTGTAACTCAAATCCTCAAGGACATTTTACATCACACCCATTGCTTTATTTTTACATTGATAGCAGCAGTTATTGGGCTCATTGCTGTCATTGTCTCAGCTGTGACTGCTGGCAGTGGCCATACACAACTCCATTCAGACAGCTCACTTTGTTGAAGTTGGTAAAAGAATTCCGCTACTCTCTGGAATTCCTAGTCCCAGATTGATCAACAATTGGCTAATCAAATTACTGACCTTCATCAAGTGTCATTTGGCTGGGTGACAGGGATTTAAACCTTGAGCATCGCGCTGTTACAGTGTGGCTGGAACACATCTGATTTTTGCATCACTTCTTTCAATTATAATTCTACACTTCACCCCTAGGACTGGGACAATATACGTCACCATCTGCTGTCCTGGAATGATAACCTCACCTTGGACATTAATCGCCTGAAGCAACAAATTTTTGAGGCTTCTCAGGCACATCTAACTACTGTCCCAGGTTCAGAAACTTTTGAAGACATTGCACAAGGCGTCTCTGATCTTAATCCAATTAAGTGGTTTAGAAAATGGTCTGTTCCTTTAGGTGCTTTCTCCTTGTTTGCCATCATTGTGATTGTTGCTAGCATTTCTGCCACGTTAATTACATGTTTCTGTATTCATAAATTTCACAAACATCATAGGTAACAACTTCAGGCCATGGTGGCCATAACTGCACTTGTAAAACAAAAGAAAGGGGGAAATGTGGGTAACCCCCCATATAGGCACCGAGGAATGAGAGCTAAGCAGAACCCTGGCAAAATTAAGGTCTGAAGAATATCTCAGTTTATAGTGTTACTACTCAGTTATTTCCCTTTATACAATCCTCTCTATATAACCATATGTTAGTTCATAGAATGAGTGCCTAAAGAATATCTTACCACTCAGTTATTTCCATATATATATATATATATATATAACTATACCTTAGTTAATAGAGGAATGCCTAGAGTAGATACAGTACAGAGCATGAATTAAGGAATAAGCAGCTTATAATCAGAGGAATGTCTAGAGCAGACACAGGGCAGAGCATCATTCAAGGGAAAAACAGTCATACCAGCACAAGAACCCATGGCCCAGGCACCAGCATTCAGTATCGTAAAGATACCCGCTGTATGGCAGGCTTTGGGCAAGAGCCACTCCTCCTGATAAAGGAGCTGTAGGACCTTGCTCCAGTTCATGTGGAAGGCTGCCCTCACTACCTGGGTGACTTTGAACTTTATCAGCTCTTGTTACTGTGCTGTTCAAAAAGCATTTCCCTGTAGAACTCATTGGAAGCTGCCAGCAGGTGGCGTAGACACTGACAGCTCTGTCACTGCTATTGACTTAAAGCATCCTCCTACAAATCTTCTTAGCAGCTTACCCATAGATAGAGATATTGCACACTGCACCCTCTTCACTGAGCATGGCCCACCTCCATGCCTCAGTGACCTAATAGGGATGGAGCTCTTACTGCACATGGCCCTTGCCTCAATGACCTAATGGGGATGGACCCCTTGCTGTGCACTGTCCACCTCCTAGCCTAGGTGACCTAATGTGGGTGGACCCCTTGTTTTATTGCTCAGGACCCTATCACTATCCTTAAAGATGGCTTCGCTCACTGCCCTGCCCCCTAACATATACACCATAAATACTCATGCTTTTGGACATTCGGGGCCTCGCCTGACTCTACTCATAGGTGGTGTGGCCCCCCAAGCCCAACTGCATTTTCCTTGTGCTTCTGTGTCCCGTCTCTTTATTTCTCTGATCCTGCACCTCAGTACAGCATAAGGGACAACCCACGACCCTGTGGGCCATCAGCCCTACAGATCTTATGGTCCTGACTCCCTTCTGGCCTGTCATAGGACATTTTCTTCACACAGATAGAAGCGGAGTGAGCTGCTATCAGGCTGCAAGTAAGCACAAAGAAAGCTGATCCCTGAGATCCTTGGGATGTTGCGGTCGGGAGCCCACGGGGGAGCTCACCGAGCCCACAATTCCTCCTCTACCCACATCTCCTATGGGCTCTGACCAGGTCCTGCTTTTGTTTTGCCCCAGGCAATAATAGTGCCCAGAGCTCTGGTGTGTCTCTCACAGCTTGTAAAGGTGACACCCTGGCACAGGAGCCCTGATGTAAGCAGGTGTAGGGGGGAGCAGAGGGGACACAGCTGTGCTATGGGGATTCTTTGATTTGAGTATCTTGAGCATGCAATGGGCTGTGTAGCATGTCACCACTCGCTGTGACCAATATGAGCTTATTCATGAATATTTTCTCTATAATGTGAGACAGCTGACTTGTGTGGAACTGAGAGGCAAGATTTATTCACACTTCCCCTTTGTGACTTCCAGAACCCTGATTTCTCTTTCTGCAAAGAGAAATGTGTTCAAATGTGTCTTCATCCCTGTTAGCATAATGCGATGAGGTGGGGAGATCAGCCCACGCCCGTGTCCACCGTGACCCCCTTCCCCACACTGCCCCATGTTTCTACTGTTATCTTCCCTGCTCCAGAGATCTGGGGCTTGGATGTCTTTATCTTTCTCAAGTTCATGCTGCACTAAGCTGCAACTTCCTGCTTCCCTATTAAAATTAGAATCTGAGTATAAATTTACTTCTTCAAATTCTTGCCATGGGAGGTTAATGAGTTAATTAAAGGAGGAAATTACTAAAGTTTAAGAGACAAAATAAATGGAAGACCTGAGAACCTTCCAGAGTGTATGTGTTTTTTCTGCTGATCTGTTGCAGGGGAGGAGAGTAGATGGTGTTGTGGCCAGTGAGTCCTCAGGCTGCTGTGGGCTTTATGTGGTAGCTGCTTGGCTGGGTCATCTTGGCTGCTCCAATGGCCTGGGTCCTTCAGTAGAACCTTGTCCCACCAGGACCTGTGATCACAGGGACTCAGATGTTATTTAGGGCAGTCCCTGCACACAGAAGTCCTTGTGATATCGAGAATGATTTTCAGACCTACCTAGCTCTTGCCTGCCTTCCAGGGCTCTTTACTGGATTGTATTTTCCATCCTTTCCCCAGCCCTCTTAAAGGAACAAGATTCTGGAATTTGCAAAGAGGAGGGATTCGATAATTTGTCATCATAGGTAACTTTCTGTTGGAACTCCTCTTCTGCTCTCTCTCCTACTCTACTTCCTGCCCTGAGTTGTAGTGATCCTAGCGCGGGCTCCAATCCAAACCCATGGATTTGTAAAACAGTCTAATTTAGATTTATATGCAGTTGGAAAATTGGAATTGTAATCCTAGGATTATCTTTCCTGAAGAGAGACATATGATCGTGTGCTGCCGTGTGTAGGAGGGTTGGTGTGCGAGGAGGGATGGGGGGGCACACAAGCAGCACTGATGACAAAAGCACTGGTGGCACTGACGTCGGTGTGAGAGGATATTGTGCTGTAGCTGCCACAAAGCAGCATTTGGCCTGAGGCTGCATTAATAAAGATATTGCCTTTAGAATAGGGAGGTGCTCTATGGTGATCTTTCATTGAACTGACATTTGTTGTCTGCTAAGTAAATGACTGTTTTTGCATTTGAAAAATATCTTTAAATTAGAAACAGAATAATTTCTTGCCTTGTGATGCATATATTCCAGAGAGAAGAGGCAGATGCAAGGTATACCATAAGCAGAGTAAAGAAGGAAAATGCTCGTGTTAGAAGTTGGCAAGTGCTGTGGGGGGTGATCCAGAGTGCGGGCTGTGGGGACAGGGAGGTGGCTGTTGTACTATGTGGTCAATGTAGGCCTTGTTGCAAATGTGACCTTCGAGGAAAGATTTTATTTTTTGACAGTTGGCAGAGCTAACTGTGGCTTTATTTTGAAAAAAAGAAAAAGAAAACAATTATG